CCGGACACGAATTCACACACCCCGTCATCGTCCAGGGACCCGTCGATGCTGTTGCCCTTCGCACTGAAGCGATCCAGCGTTCTCAGTTGCTGCGAGCGCATACCAACCAAAGGGGATCAGCAGTTTGGAGGGCACCTCATCGCGGGTCCGGAAAACGGCAACCGGAGGGGGCAGGCGCAAGACCAGCTGCTGTCAACGCCAGCCGTTCGAACGTTCATGGCATCGACAAACAGGAGACGCAAAAAAGGGATTGCCGCGCGCGACAAACCAGATGTCGCCAGTCCGAAACTGCCGTTGCGTGATTGGGCCCTTCGTGGGGCTGGCACTGGCACGCGCCCCGGCGAGCCCCACAATCTCGGACGCAATTTCTTGTTTGGGACGCGGCGTCGGTTCAATATTTATCGGCGCCCAAGATTCGCGCGGAGGGCTTCGGCTCGGTCAGCCCGCAAGGCGCGCGGAGAGGGCTCCTGGGACGGCGCGACGCGCCCTCCGATCCCCACCAGCCCAGCCAGGGCGCCGCATTGGTGTTCACACTCAGCCACTCGCCAGCCACAAGCTGGGGGAGTGTGGCCCCGTTCCATCACACAAAGCCGTACGCCTCGCCGGCCGCGCGCTTCCCACACCGATTTGCGCGAGCATCCGCATCCCGCTCTCGCTTCCGTGCGCTCCACGCAACGAAATGCGTGGGAGGACCCACCCCCCCGCCCCTTCCCTTGGTGGCCACACCCCTCAATGGCCCCCAGTGGGTTGCCACGCAGATCGCCAGGTCGGGCGCCGGCTCCGCACCTTCAGGCCTCCGGCGATCGCCCCGATGTCGCCCGTCAACCGGTTGTAGTCCAGGCTGACCTTCTGCAGCTGCGACATGACCTTCAGCTCGTCGAACGGGAAGGCGCACTCCAATTCGAAGAGGTCGAGGTTTAGCTTCAGCAGGCGGCCGTCGTCGTTGCACACGCTGCCGTTCAGGTTCAGGTGGCACATGTCCAGCACCGGCTCCGTCTCCTCGCCGCTGGCGTTCCAGCCCACCACCTCCGACGACATGGCAAGCCACCTCGGGCAGCCCGAATCGCGGCAGCACTTGTTGAAGATGGACCGCATGGCGGACACCTCCCTCGACACCAGGCTCCGCTTCGTGTAGTCCAGCTCCAGCTCCAGCCGGTACTCCGAAGGTACGACGGACTGGCCAATCACGCTGCACACGAAGCCCACGCTGATGGTGTGGCCGTCCTCGCGCGTGAAGTTGTTGCTCACGCCCTCGCCGTAGAATGAGTCGTTGCTGGAGATGAACACCAGGTCGGTGCCCTGGCTGTGGTTGGACGCCCAGTGGAATTTCTCCCGCGTGGGCAGGACCACGTTGCCGTTCTCCTGCAACAGGGGCCAGCAGTAGATGTCCGCGTTGCCGCCCGTGGCATCATTCAGGACGTCCAGCGACAGCAGGATGTCCGGGAAGCCCAAGCCCTCCTCCTCGCGCTCAGGCGCCTGGAAGGCGAACACGTCATACAAGTTGAACGGCAGCGTGCCCGTCACGCCCTCCCCGGCGGCCAGCACGTCGATGCGGCTGGCATTCAGGCCCTCGATCGGGATCGCCTCCAGGAACGAGTTGTCCGTCCTGTCACTTTCTTGACCCAGGGCGGTGCCGGCCCACGCCAGGGCCACCAGCGCCCACGCCAGCGCCGTGGCGGGCGGCCGCATGCCGAAGATTGGCCGGAGAGGGCCCGGGGCGGAGGAAGGCAGCGAGTGAGGGGTGTGGGGGGTGGCCAGCACGACGACAGAGGCCCACGCGGTCGCCTCATGCATAAGGAGAGGTGCGCGGCCGGCTGCGTGGGACCGCGGCGGACGTGGACGGACCAGCGCGGGGGCTTGCGGGGGCCAGATGCTTCGGTCAAGCTTCGCTAGTCAGGATTCGGTGAGGTTTTTGTTCCGCAGAAGTTCGCGCGGGGCCGGTCGGCAACCTTCCCCCATCGGGGGCAGCGGGGCCACTCCGAAAAGCGCTGGAAGATTCCAGGGGTGCGGCCCATGTCCGTCCCGGGCACCCGGAGAGGCCTCAACTGTTGGCAAAAGGCCACCTTGTGCACGCTGCACAGACATGGCTGGCGGACCGGGGCCACTCGGGCCCCCGCAGCAGCGGCCCCAAAGAATAAGTAGGGATGCCACTTGGGACCGAGCGATATGCAAGGGGCTGTCGCCACGATGCAGGACAGGGGAAAGCGCAGATTTGTTCAGCTGCTGGTGTGAACACGCATCCTAGTTTCCCCAAGATTGCGTTGTTCACTTTTTGGAGCATGCCTGGTACATTTTCAGAAGCAAAGGGACTGGGTTCGGCAGAAGAAGAGCCGCACTCCAAGTCCAGAGAAGCCGGGAAGGATCGCATCTTGGACAAAGGAACGGCCGAACTGCACGTCCACAGGTAAGGAGTAGAGGTGGCCACTCAAAGGTGCCATCCGGTCCGTTAAATCCGGTTCGTTAATTTTTATCAGCTGTCCGTTAAATTTCGTTAAAGAAAAAGGGAGAAAAATTCAGAAAAACGAAAAAAATCTAAAAAAATCGAAAAAAACCCAAAAAATCACAACAACTGCGGCTAGTTGAAAATCTAGTATGCATAGGTTGAAATAAAATACAAACATACTCTCTAATAGCGAATTCCATAAACTATAAGTATGACTAAAACCCAAAAATCCCCAAAAAATCCAAAAATCCGCTAATTTTTGGTTTATTTTTTGTCTTTTTTCGTTATTTTCCGTTAATTAACGGAAATTAACCTCTGTCCGCTATTAACGGATCCGGGTGGCCACCTCTAGTAAGGAGTGCACTCCAGAGCGAGATCAACAAGTTGCAAGCTTCAATTGAGGCACTGGGTTTGACAGCGAGTGAGGTCAAATTGCTCCAGTCGTTGCAGCTTGCAGGCACATAACAAACATTGGGACCACTCAGGCTGCTTGACAAAAAGAAATTCAACAATACCAGTTTTGGTGCATGCGGCCCTCAATGGCGCATCGACGTGATTAGTCCAACAAAAGCGTGAGACTGCAGGTGATGTTGCACAAACATAACGAGAGAAGCCCTGAAGAAACTCTTTAAACACCCACGATACTGCCAATCATGACAGTCTCGAATCGCTGGTTTGCCATTCCAATGAAACCCTCACCAGACCTTGAGCTCGTTGTCCAGTGTTTCAAGGAAATGAGTGCCGCAACAAGCTTGGAGCAAAGTGCGAAGAAAAACTGAATCCTGTGTCCAGATTTGGGCCGATTTGTCAAAGCTGTGACGTGAGCAATTTTTTTTTCTGACCCACTCATTTGGTCATTGCCAATTTGCCAATTGCCGTTATGTCCTATTGGTTCAGGTAGAACTTCACAAAGCCACCTCCGTTTAACTGTTCGACTCAAAGTGACGATTGGCAGATCGAGCTCCCAAAGTGGTGGAGGTTCTTTGTTGATGGGGACTCCAGCTAAAGTCAATAATGGTTTTTTACATTTTGAATGATGCCAGGGTATCGTAACATGATTTGAATGTTTGGACTGCAGCTCAGTCAACCTTAAATGCAGCCTCTTCCGGGCACTCTAGTTTTCTGGGAGAAAAACTTGCTCCAAATGCAAAAAACATCTGAACTATCTATATACCCCATCATAGCTTTCACATTCAACGTTTAGCGTAAGTTTCGCCTGCTTGATAAGCTCAGCCATTGCTCACACCAAATTATCATGATGGCTATCAAGTGCGGTGCTGCAGCAATCACCATAATGTCAAATATTTTCTAGATCTCCAGTGATTGGACACATTACCATTAGCGATCTCAAAATTTCCTTAATCTCCCATTCTCCTTTCTCTACTTTCCGTGTTTTTGATGGTGAAAAACACCTGTGAAGTAAAACTTTGGTCTTGTCTTGCACAATTGATAATAGACACACCTCAGCGAGTGCTATTCTGGTGTTTCTCATTAGATAGTATCGGTAGCTGATGCAGCCAATTTGGTGGTCCAATATAGGTAGCCAGGATGGGTCCATGGTGATGAAATGGCCATGCTAAAATATGTGCAAGTATTGTCAGTAAAGTGCCAACACCCTTTCTAGGTGCACATTGTTGCTCTTTGGAGCAGTTAGCTCGAGCACACCTCAATTAATATATATACTTACATAAGATTGCTACTTGCGCCCAATCGGCCCTGAACAGCAAAGAATTACTCAGGCATGCTGGCCTGTCTTGTATCCATAACCGAATGGATCATGACTCGCCATCAGATGACTAGACAAACAGGGAGATGTTGGCTTAGGGAATCCCTAGTAGGGATGTTTATGCTTGGTAACAAAACCCCTCACTAACAAAGCGAAGGTGGGCGTTGAGTTCAGCAATGCCTTCTTTGTGTAACATCTATAGTTTGCATTGTCATATGCGGCACTGTGGTGGTTTAGGACTCCCCAAAGTAGATAAAGCAGTTTGTGTGTGTGGGGGGAGAGCTTCATTTCAGCACAGAAGCCACACCAACTATACCCATAGCCTGTTGCCAGAAGCTTGCTTACAATAAGGTTGGCCATGGCACAATATGGAGCATTGGCATCATGATGACAAGAAGTCACGTAACTTTGATTCAAGCTCAAGGCAACGAAGGGTGGATGCTTGTAATAATATTGTTCCCATGTAGCAAAAACATTTGGTTCTTTATATGAATGATATGTGTAAAGGACAATGGTATATTTTGGCCATTATCCATAGAGATAGCATAGTCTAATCACCCATGAACAAGCACCTGAGCCACGTCGACCACATTAGCACTATGTCAATTGAGGGTGTACTCAATAAACAAGCTTTGCCCCTAGTGTGATCTGATTCTTCACGAAGAACTACTTGCCCTGATGATGTCAACAAATCAAATTAGCAGCGACGGCAAGGGAAGCTTCAGATGAGCGACAAACATCCAATTGACCACCAAGCATGCAAGCGCACTTGTAGAACCTCTCACAACTACCCCCCAAAGTGCACGACCGGTCATAGCCACTCCCCAAAGGTCAAGGAGATTAGGGCACACGTTAGCCCCATGGGTCGGGGCAGCCATACCCACAACGTAGCAGTGCAATACATGAAAGATACTTTTTTCCACCTCAGCGAAGCTGTGCAGTGACAAAGGTTGGTCACTTTTGGCCAGCAGCTCGACCGCACTTGCAGTGCTATTCTTGAGCAGTAAGGAAAATGGCTCAAAAAAGGCATATACTAGATGCGACCCTAAAAAAGGTCGAGCTGAAACAAAATGCTGAATGCATCCCACCATACAATGCAAACAATAAATCATAAACAATAAATCATTGTCATATCATTATTATCATATATGTAACAATCATATGTGGGGGAGTCACTCCTCCCCCTCTCTTATTAACTGAAGCATGCCCGCACCAACTAGTTTTAGAGCAAGGGAGCATCCCTGCACCAGAAACACAACACGCCGACCGGGAGGATGGCCAGTGGGGATTCAGGCCATGGGCAAGGGAACCTAGAGGATGAATCGGCACGGGCAATAGTGCCTTATGGTGGTGCCCCAACGCCTATGGAAGTTTACGGGCCCTGCCTCGGTTGGTCGGTGATTAAGTTTAGTGAGGAGGCTGATCGACCAGAGACCTTGTTGCTACGTGAAGTGGGGAGCGTGGCCACGGCAGCTATATGCCACGTGACTTTGTTGGTGGTTGCAGAATAGAGGCAGCAGGTGGAAAACCAGACGGATAACACCCTCCGTAGAATGGGCAAGACGTTGACAGTCAAATTGCAGGCAACTTTATAGAATCAAGTGGCGGCCTCATAGCAGCATCAAGCCTAGGAGCTGCTGACCTTGCAAGAGGGTGTGGCCGGCAGAATGGGCACTCAAAAAGGCGCCATTTTTGTGATGGGTGCCAGTCTGGAGGCTGTACACCAATAAGCAGAGAATCAAGCGCAGAGTTTGGAAGGCTACATGCTACAATACAGGGCGATTGGTGATGGGCAAAGCAATAGATCAATGTGGAAATAGACTAGAGGATGGAGGCAATAGGAAAACGGTTGATGGAGATTGAGGCACTGATACGTGAAGGTTGTTGGTGTGGGGCTCCTGCCCTTTTTGAGCTGCGGACCCGCCTTGCCGGGCACCTAGGTCCTTACGGTCACCTAGGTGGGACCACCCCAACCTATTCCCATATCGTATAATATCGTTAAGTGGGTTTCACCATGGGGCATGCCCCGCGTCGTTAAGAGGCGTCCCCATATCGTCGGTGCATAACAGGCACATTTTTCAGTGACCAACCAACGGCTCGAGGATGAGTCTAAACTGGCGAGCGCCATCGACAGCGAGCAATTCGCCCGGACTCAGGAGGACGTCGCCATAGTAAGCAAATGCCTGCAATATTGGAAACGCAGAAAGAAAGTGAAAATGTGTGGGTACAGGCAATGGCGAGCACCGCAAGCAAAGCAACTAAGGAGGCAAAAATCGCTTACCAAGGCTTGCGCAAAGCAGTGCAAGTCCTCGGCGACCTCGGCGCTGCAATTGAAGCACAACAAACTGACAGCAAAAATACTCGCAAACACATAACAGGAATGGAGGATCGGTATGCGTAGGATATGGCCACCATGGAGGGAGCACTCGCCAAGATCATGCATGCCATGGAGGCGCTGGACAAGCGGGTAGCCAAAGCAACGTCGAGCCCCATCGCTAGGCCACCCACGCCGAGCGGGAC